ATTGATAATATTTTTAAATCCCTGCATAAAATACTTAATGACTATATCATTGATTTCCCTTGCTCTTTTACCCCACATTCTCCAATATATGTTGGAGAATATTATTGCATTACCAATATACCATTACATTACCAATATAAGAATAAAGAATACTTTATTCTTTTCCTAAGGTCTTCACTGTCAGTAAATTACTATTTGTGAAATAGAATTACAATTCTAAAAGAATACGTATTATACTGTGATTGATGGAAAAATATACTTTTAACTTGTGGGGCAAGACTCATTTTCTAACATTTCAGCTCTATTTGCTCAAATGCATAACTGCTATAAAGCACCCATTATGGCTAATAATGGCATTATTCACCTCAGTAAGAACTTGGTTTGGTAAAGCTGTAAGGACTCTCAACTTCAGCAATCAATTTAGTTAACTACAGGAAATAGCTGATTTCATATAGATTATTACCTTAATTGCACATTTTTCCCCAAACTCGCTTACTCAGAGTGAAGTGGTGCTCGATATGTATTTACATATACTCTATTAAACCTGCCAGATAAAACACTTTAGGAGAAATTGTCAAGGTTTGAGCTCATATTTTTGATATCCCTCACCCCTAAATCTCTTAGGTTCTTTTCATTAATTTATGCCAGACCAGGTTTAAAAAAAAAATCACAAACAGAGGACAATGAGGCAAGGTGTGAAATATTGAATTAAGGGGATTATATGAATCCCAGCTATATTCCATTGAAAGTTAAGACAGTCTATCTTGCTTTTGGGCTCCACCATCCAACTATCTCAGCAGTCAGAAACTGGAAATAGTCAAAATGTCTTCTGATCTTTCAACTCCAACATCCAACCACCTTCCACCTTCTAAATGTCCTGAATCTTTCCTCTCCACACTGTTGACCTAGCTTCAGCCTCCTTAGGATTAATATTGCAATGCAGAAGCTCTACTACTTCACACATTTTTGAAATACAAATAAAAAACAATATAGAACAGGCACATAAACAGATGGCAACTGTAGTCATTTGAATGTAAGAACAAATGGACTCATAACATCCTCTAGAGTCTAAATTCCAAGGAACTTCCCCACGCTACTTCATCCTTACCTACTCACACTCCCTAGACTGTAAATATTGTACAATCACATCTCTATTCCCTGCTTAACACTCTGAATTCTGCTTGTCTATAAAGAAATTCCAAGTCTAAAAAGTGTTTGTTACTGAGTCCTATTCAAAACACAAGCTAAAGTGATCTAATACTCTGGAACAATTACCTTGTACCCTCCTGACCTCAAGAGAATTGACCTGTCTAATCTTCCAAAGTTAATATCACCATACAAAAAGTGTTTCTGTATTTTCTAAGAGAATTGAACTTTTCGCTGCTGCCTCAGAATAGAAATCTGTAATACTGAGCATATATATTATTTTTTTCTATCAGGTAGTTTCCTGGCTTTAGCCACAGGCATTAAAAAATGAGGTAGTCTGGTGCCTAAAGTGGTATCTCTAACCTTGGCTTATAGAGGCCTAATTAAGTCAGGCAGAACAAAGCCCTACCGTAAGTAATGGACAGAAGCACATACAAGAGAGATGTGGCCCTTGCTCTTCTCAGAGATCAGCCTTTCTGAGAACACAGGAAAAATGACTATCTAGAGTGATAACTATGATAAGAGATACATTAATAGAAGTATAGGACTATCAAGGAGGAATTTTACCAGGCTGAGAAGACAGGACAAAAACAACTCGAGTGTAAGAAATTGCCCAAGCAAAAGCAAGGAAGTGTAACTATCCATGGGAGTGCAAGGGATTAAAATGGAACATTATAATTCAGAAAAGGCAAATACTTGCTATCGCACTTGGGATTTTCACATGAAAGCTTTACTGTTAATTTTTCCTAAAATCAAATTTCTTTAATCAAACAGGACTTGTTTTTAACTGCCAATTTAAGCATGTACTTTGGACTTCAGAACAAGAAAGGAAAGTGTCCTAAGAGCAGATTACTGCACACAATGTCATTAATAAGTCAAATTACATTGCTAGTATAGACAAGAACTTCTAGGTTAAAACAAAACAAAACAAAAAAAAAAACAAAAATAAATAAAGAAACAAACAAACTCAGGATAACTCTAGAAAACATTTTTCCAGGATATTATTTTTTTTAATTTCAACTTCAACAAGCACATGTCCAGTCTGTTCAGACAACCTAAGCACCAAGCGCAAGCATTTCTTCAAAGCATAAACACAAATTCTTAAAATATTAAACATGGCTAGATTCCTCTCATTTCCATCCTACCCATGCAGTAGCAAAGAGAATTGTCCTCCCCCAAACTGAGAAGATTCTTATTTATCCATAGTGGCAGGCAATCAGGTATAAGTAGACAGTTAAAATTCTAAAACAATGCTCAAAACCTACATTTTGCTCAGATATTTCAGCTTCCTACCACATGACACCTTTTAGAATCACTAGTAAAATTGGAGAAAACTTAATACTTTGGATTTATCCCATGTTTCTTCCTGCATTATTTATCCAAAGTGCTCAAAAGCTATAGGATGTATTGAGTTGTTGAAAAAGACATGACGTACTTTTTTGACATCTCTTTCTATGAAAAGAGGCATCATGACTTTTCTAGCAACTCAATAGAAGCAGTCATCAAAATGGAGGGAGGAAATAAAAGAGACCCAAAAAGAAGGGGAACCCCTCTCCATTGGATTACTGGCTCCTGGAGAAATATGATTCGCTAAAAATCAACACCCATATTCAATCTAAACCAAAATACTTTTTCACCAAAAATACCAGGTTGCAAGACACTTTGAATCCTACCTACCATCACTTTCCCACAGTCCTTCCTCACCCTTCCCCAGGCTTCCCCTTTTCTCAGTGAGAGCTAAGCAACCTGTGTAGTCTTACTTACAATTGTGAAGTTCATGACTTTGAGAATCCAGATGGTCATGGCCAAGTTCACCAGGATCAAAATCATGAGGAGTAGGACAAAGAAATACAGGCATCTTTTCCGCCAGCCATAAATTCCCACTTTGTATACTTGTGGACCCTCAGAGCTAGGCATGGTGCTCCGGTGGTGTGTGTACTGTTCCTGAGGCATCTGAAATAAATGAGGTGAGAGAGACACACTCACATTAAACTGCTGAGAGAGAGAGAGAGAGAGAGAGAGAGAGAGAGAGGAAAGGAAAAAATCAACCGATGAAGAGAGATGGCTGGCTGCTGTCTGTATGTTTCCATCCTCCTGACAACTTTAAAATTTGTTTCCTCTAGACAAAAGTGACTCTTCTGGATGCTTTCTTTAGCCCTTGCATGTTATGTGGCCATCTCCCCTGATGCGTACTGAGACAGCCACCCACATACTGGGAGGAAAGGGACTTCTAGTAAGCCATTTACAAATGACTTAGCCTTCCAACATCTTCCTGAGAGAGACACTCAAAGACCTACTGAAGGCCTGAAGGTAAAATCTGAAATTAGTCTCAGAAAATAAATTAACCCCAGCTGTTCATCTTGGTAGTATAAAAATACTAATTAGGCGATTTATTTCAAGGTGGGGAAGGGTAAAAAGTAAAACCTCAAATGTAATCCTTCTGTATTGTCAGTCATCAGCAAAAGTAGCCACTTTGACCTTTCCTCTATTGCAGGGTTAAAAGGGATCCTGGTGGACACTCAATTCAGTCCTCTGTGGACTTGGGAATTTCTGAAGGTCATAGCCTAGTTAAATCTACAGCATCTTCTGAGTTAGTTCTTATGGATTAGTCAATTCTAATTGGCATCAATCAACTTATATATTTAATGAACATAAAGAAGGGCCAAAGTCAAATAAGATATGAACATGACTTCTAGGAGCTTGTAGACTGGGAGGATGAACTAGTTTAACATCCATCACATGAGAGTGATATTAGTTAGAAAATGTTCATCAACCTTCAGATCCCCTTTAAATGAGGATGCTTTCCCAAATCCCTACTGTTGACATGCATTCTCTCTTTACTATCATCATGTACCAACACAAATCTACATAAAATAGATTTATCTATTATCATCACTTCTGTAAAAGCCTAAAACATGTTTTAAAATTAAGTAAAAAATATGATAAAATGCACATCATCTAAAATGAAAAATAACCAAATACTGTGAAGGATGATGATTTACTAAAGCTAAATTCCATGAATGTGACACCAAGAGCTTTGACACAGGGGCTTCTGAGCACATCATCCCTACTCTGCCATGAGCCATGTGACATCAAGGCTCTTTCTTTTTTTCAGATTACTGCTTTCTCTTTCTGATTACTACACAACCTTTATTTTAGCATTTTTTATTACTTCATTTGGTCTTCATGTAGGTATT